AACACCGTCACCATGTAACACACAACACACAACATGTGACAACATCATGTAACACGCAACACACAACATGTGACAACACCGTCACCATGTAACACACAACACACAACATGTGACAACACCATGTAACACGCAACACACGACATGTGACAACACAATGTAACACACAGCAGCTCTCCTCCCCCTCCAGAAATCCTGCAGTCTGTGTGTGCATGCATTATTATACTCCATTGCATTTATTATACCCATTCCTGCTTATTATTTTATTTTACTACACATAGGTTTCTGTTCCATGTGGCAGGCAGGACCTTGACCCGCTGTCAGAAGCATCGTGAACAGTACCCACCATCGTAATTCTCAGATGACATGACTTTTGTGCAGAATTTCACTCATGCTGCACAGTTTAGACTTAACGATAGACATAAATATTTATGATGCTTCTGAGAGCGGGTCAAGGTCTGCCACATGGAACAGAAACCTATGTAGAGTAAAATGCAATAATAAGCAGGAATGGGTATAGTAAAATGCAATGGAGTATAATAATGCATGCACACACAGACTGCAGGATTTCCAATTACAGAACATAGATTCACATTAGATGATCAACAAACAGAAATAGCAGAAAAGTATTCATGCACAGTCATATAATCAGGAGTAAGATAATATAGATCTATATTATCTTACTCCTGATATAATGCAGTCATCATGTGAGTTTTCCCATTGTAGTCACTAGGCACTATTTGAGTGATCACCATGACTCGCTGACAAAGGAGTAATTCTTAGATCTACGCAGGTGTCTATGGTAGTAAACGGGCTCTAAATTCCACATCTTGCTTACCATTGCCGAGTGCGCCAAGACACCAGGCCGATTTGACTTTGACCTGACCTACCCTGATATTAGTAGGCGCTACGTCACATACCTGAGATGTTGCAAGACGCTGTTACTCTCGAGGCCTCCAAATAACGGTCTCAGATTCTTCAGCATGTTCCTATCTAGCCTGCAACAATACAGAGCTGCTAAAGTCGACAAGTATAAGCACGATCGGTAAATTACCCACTCTTTTAGTCTTCACGAAAAACTTTTTGAGTATTCTGTAAAATGTACATGCCCGAATGACCTTATAGTCGCCCATATATTTTGCAGAAATATTTTTGGAATATCTAGTAAAGAAGTGTACACCATACAACTTCGAAACGCCATTAATTTCCAGTGTTAACATTTCCAATTTCGTGATTTTAAATTAAAAACCTTTAGTTCACGACCAGTTTCATTATATTTTATGCGTTTTAAAGCAGGAGCCTGTTGGACAAGTGAGCTTGCAATGTTTACATGCCCGCCGAGATTTCTACATGTCTCGAGCATCTGACGCCCGCTAAATTTGAAGACTGCTCTTTCCTCCAGCCACTTGGCATCAATAAGCCATTTTGTTATATTAACATGTAAGGACTAACAGGCTTAAATACCGAATATTTAAATTGATTAGTGTAGTTAGTGATTGGTGACCTCTCCTACTTAACACTGAACACACGTGTACATAGATATACCTCTTCTTTGGTATAATCTCATAATTTAGTGATACGTCTGCTTAGATTAATCCTCGCTCTAGTGTAATAGGATAAATACGATAAACCCACATGCGCATGCACGCACACACGCACACAATCATATATTATATATATATATATATATGCGTTTATGGTAATAGTACACGCCAGCACAAAATACTGAGACTAATTTATTAATATGATTTTTACATTGAATTAATACTGACACAAATGCTAACCGCAGGCACATTAAAAAGCAACTAACCCAAGAGTAAACTTACTTGACTGACTGTAGTGCACAAACAGGGCTGGCCAGGACCTGGGAAAGCCATTCCAGATCTAAATCTTGGAGATCACATGCCCGCATGCTACAAAACATACATGCGCAAATTAATATGACTCTGCACTGTTTGTTTATGGGTTGTGAACAACTTCTGCAATATAGCCATTCATTTCAAATTTTAGGGGTTGACAATAAATATAAATATGTTAGAACATAAAAGGAACATATTCTAGGACATTACATACATAAAGGACATTACTCTAGGATTAATGCATATTTACAATTGAAGTAGGTTTTGATGATTTTACATTAAAAACTTGTGGTTCGATATTCAGTAAAAACTTTAGAAATATGTCGATGATCTTTTGCTAGCAATGTAGGTAGCGCCACTACATTTACTAACAACTTTAATTTGCGTTACGCGAAGCTTTAGCTGCAGGATACAGACCGAGAACGTTTCTTATTCAATAATTTAAGAGAAGAAGGAATAAGTCTATTCCAAGTCACTCAGTTAAATAGTAATTATGTATCAATAAAATTGCACTTTTGTCAATAGCTATTGGACTCTAAAACATTCAAAATTTAAATTTAAATGTGCAACTACACCAGAGGCAATTTACAGTTAGACGGTAACATAGCAGTGCAGAAAATCTGTGATTTTGAAAACACAGTGCCAGTGGTATTGAAAATATATCTAGGCATATACAATATGCAATAACGACCATAATATACTCTTAAATAATAGAGTATTGGTCCTCTTTAAGTGACACGAATTTTCATTATCGGAAGAAAATGAAAAAAATTCTAGCTTCAAACTGACTAGTGAGAGGGCTTAAAGCAATTATAGTTAAAGGAAATGTCAAGATTTGTTGAGCTTGGGTTATGTCACATGTAGCTGCAACTTGTATGAGATTATCCTCATGAAGCCAGGTTGCATGGGGTGGGGTAGGATTATCGTCATGTAGCTGGGCTGTATTATAATATGAACAACTGTTGTTATTGACCTATCTGTCCGGAGTAACTTACATGCAGCTTTAGCAAAACGTTTCATAATCATTTAGACGGATTGATCAAGCTTAACCGACATAACAAAAATATCCAAGGGGCATAGTTATCTTGCTCAAACAGATAGATCAATTAATACTTACTTAAGATAAGTTAGACTTGTATTCCTTGACCACGCCTGAGCAATGGTTGTGGCGTGTTCTCCAACTTCTAGCACACATGATTCCATACTGAAAACATGACATCAAACGGTAGATATGCGACTGTTTAAAGAAACTTAAAATAGTTAACTGTGTAGCAATATACTGCAAAAAACCTTAACATTTCTTCTTAGACTCATTGTTATTATTTACCTGATACTGGTAAGATTTTTATTCCTCCCCAGTGCATTGGCCAAGATCACAAAATTGGCACTGCTGACCTCGTTTTTCCCTATGCTGGTAACAGAGTAAAATCATTTCCATGATTAATACATAATTCTATGCTAACAATGGCATTCGTTATTGTAATAAAATTATATACTCGATTATTTAATATAATCATTTCAGTATAAATGAATATATTTTAAGGTAACAATAATAAAGTTAAGAACCAAGAGAAATGGGAAACATCATAAGTTGATCTCTATGATTGAACTACAATACCATATACTTAATTAGATGAACCTAGGGCACATGGTAACATATATCACATGTAGACTTACCATAGTTTGCGTAGGCTTTTGTTCTTGCTAAATGCTACAAAGATTCTGTTCAGCCCTTCATCAGACAGATGACAGTTAACCAAGCTACAAAACCAATGTTAATTGTTTATGAGTATAATTAGCTCCAACAACAATAAACTCCACATTTTATATATGCATCCACATTCAATTATTTCCCAGGTCGATTTCACAGAACCAAACAAAGTTGTCCAAGAATCGCGTACAAACTTCACTCACCAAGTTAAATTAAATGTGATGAAAAATTCTTCTTCCCAATGATTGTCTTTTCCATCTGCTACACTTGGGTCATTACAATTACGAAATGACACGCCATCACATTGTGCTTACGATCGCCACATGATGGCGCCATCGGAGCAAGCTTAACGCAAGGACGCAAACGCGAGCTTACCTGAGGCCTTCCATCTTATCCATGCACAGCGCCACCTCCCCTGCACCGATGTCGTCGATGTTGCAATTGTCTAGCGTCACAGACACGGGCGCGGCCAGATTGACCGTTGAGAGTAAGTACCCCATCGCGAACAGATCAGGCGCGCTGACAATGCAGCCCGTCAGGTCGAGGGTGCCACCCTCGAATATGGGCATCACCGCCGCGGCCGTCTCCGACTCGTGCACCTCCAGCGCCATCTGCATGAGCGTCTTTGCGAGCTCCTGCTGCTGCCGGCGATTGCCGCTGCCGCCGGCCGCGTGGTAACTGACGAGGCGTGCGATCATCGTCTTCACGCGCCGCATGCACGCCTCACTCCTCTCCACGAGCGGGGGCAGCGGCAGCGGCGGCCGCATGAACGGCAGTCCCGCGAAGAATCGGTAGACGACCTCCAGCCGGCCGTCGGCGTAGTACACCGGTGCGTCGTCGGCGGTGGCGCCCCCTCGCAGCAGCAGCGCGAGCGAGGCGAGGTACTCCTGCACGGTGAGATGATCGAAAAGGTAGAAGGTCTGCCAGCACTGCTCGAGGGCGCCACCGTCGCTCTCGCGCACGCACGTCATGAAGCAGGACAGCAGGTGGCGCTTCTCCGCGAGGCCATACGCGCGCAGGTCGTCCTCAGAGAACATCAGCTGCCGGGCGAGCACGCCCGCCAGCGCCATGTCGGCCATATTGAGAATCGAGTCGAGCTCGGTCGCGATCACCGTGCCGACATCGTCGTCGGCGTTGTTTTCGTGGCAATGTCGCCGTGTCGCCAGCTGGCAGAACACCTTCGAGTAGACGCCGGTAACGGTTCGCAGGTCCGGGACGTCGAGCGGTGCCGCGCCGCCGCCGCCCCGCCGCTGCTGCTGCTGCCGCCGCCGTGCGTCGTCGTACACCTGGCAGATGAGCCGGCAGCAAACAGGCACCGAGCAGAGGCTGAACACGTTGAGATTCGAGCGCAGGTGAGCGAACACGCGCTCCGCGTATCCACCGTCGCCGCCGTCGCCGAAGTAACGCGCGACGTACTCGCGCACACCGTCGGACGAAAATCCGAGGATCTCGACGACGCGATGGAACGCGTCGGCGACAGGTATCGCCGCGCTCGGCCGCGACGTCACAAGCACGTGCGCGCCTGACAGCAGGCGACCGGCGACGAGGCTCCCGAGGAGCTCGCGCACGCCGACGGCCGCCGCGACGTCCGTCGTGCCGGTGCCGCCGCGCGCGAACGCCGAGTTTCCATCGTCGGATGCGAGTTCGTCGAAGCCGTCGACGACGATGAGAACATAGGGGGCGCTGCGCTGCAGGAACGCGGCGACGGCGTCACGGGCCGCGCCGGCGCTCGTGTGCACGTCGAGGAGGAGGTCGAGGAGCGAGAGCTTGCGGCCGGAGAGCCGGTTCAGCTGCTTGCCGCGGAAGAGGAAGGCGAGCTTGAAGCGGCCGGAAAACGCCGCGTCTCCGCACGCGTCGATCTCGTTCGCCCAGTCACAGACGAGCCGCTCTGCCATGACGCTCTTACCGATGCCTGCGTTACCTGCACAGAAGGGCGGGAGAAGCAACAGTGCCGTGAGCATGATGTATGCTTACAGAGGCCGCCATTAAGGTGGCCTTAGTTCGGATTGCATTTTAATGCGAAGCGACGCAATGCATTGCAACTCACTGTGACGGAGTGCTTAGGTCGACAACGACGCGACTGACAGCGACGAGCAGCGACTGACACTGGCAGTCGCAGGCAGTCGCAGAAGGTGCTTAGGTCGAAGCAACGATCGCCTATAGAATATAGATTGCGCTATATACTATATACTATATGATCATGTGATCGTTCAAAATGGCGATGTCCACGTTACAGGTTTGTTGACGGTCAAATTACAATGAAATTATCAAAATTTTCGACAGAGCTCAGAGACACGAGTCGCGTCGGCGCGGAGTTGGGCCTTACATGCGAACATGGGTGAGCAAAATAGCATCAATATCGCAAAATAGCATCTCATTCACAAAACCCCAAGATATCACGCGAGCTACACAAACGTGATCGATCAATTGTTCTTATGGTGCAAAGAGGTAATAAAAGTAAGGCATCTCGCACCTTGCAATGATAGCTTCAGAAGCATTATATAGATCACCCAGTGACAACTACTGCCAGTGGCTGTAAAATACTGAAAGCATTGAAAAAAAAATTTAAACAAAAGGTGGAAATATTTCAGGAAAATCAAGTGTTATTTTAGTGACTAGAAGTCTGACACACCTAACACAAGCACGGTTGGTCTGTAAATCTTTTCTTCCATGTCGCTAAGGAGTTGCTCCACCCTGATAGGCTTCTTGGCCTTGCTGACGGCGTTGCATAGCTGAGGACAGCTGGGCACCTCCATGCACACGGATCCCATGCGTGAGCGTGTCTTCCATGCATCCTCAATCACAAGCTGTGTGTAGGTCTCGTCTAGCGTAATGCTGCGCACGCCTGCAACGTGGACGACATGAACTTCTCGCAATCGCAGCCATGGCTGTCGGCTGACACGACGCAAGACGCGAGTTTCACCTCGTGTCACGGTGTCACAATGGCGATACTCACAAAAAAAGCAATAAAGCAACATTTTGATTTGCCGCAAATTTAAAAAATTTTACCGGTCTAGTTAGAAAATGTTAATTGCATCTCCCTTGGCACGATTAAAAGCTTTAACGAATCAAAATTGTGGTTTTCTTTTGCCACTATGGATGTTCGACTGAGCATCAGAAACTAGTTTGGTTCTGACGTTCGACCAAGCACTGGAAATTATGCCACCTACTGGGCAAATTGATACTAATCTACACGATAAAATAACACCACAAATAACCACCCACCATGAAGATTACTATGGTTACCCTAATAACGGTTGTAAGTGGCCACTGATTAATTGAGCCAGCACCGTTTCGAGGTTTGCGCACGTCAGCACATAGAAAAAATGATCGAGCTCATAGCGATCCATTGTGTGACGGTCATTAGTGCATGGTCACATCCGTGCGTGATGATGCGTTTTCACGTGCGCACCTTTTAGGCCTACGTCGTTGCGATATAGCATCGATCCACTCTTGTGATATGCTGCCAGTCTCTTTGCGTATGCTATCACGTCTGCTGCAAAGATAACAGTCACACTGCAACATCTCAATGAGCCTTTTCATTCCAAACTTTAAATAATCGCAGGTTTTGGCCAGTTGGTGTTAAAGCGTGCCTACTGCATCCTTCAGTCGGGTGGTCTCATTATGGCCGTTGGAAACCAGATAAAGTTTTCCCTGTCAAATCCCTATTAAGATTTAATTGTTTCAAAGTGTGGTCACAGTGCCTGGCAGTAGCAGAGTTTTATAAATACAAATGTCCTGGTGAAATGAATAAATTATAGAGATAGATGGAAGCTAAATCAGAAGCTTCTGCATTTAACTAAATATGATAAACTTACCGTCACCCGAGATGATTCCAACTAATGGTATGTTCACATCTAAAAAAAAAAAGCAAGCAAGATGCCCTGATATATGTTATACTAGCCAAACACTTAAGTGTGTATACCAAGAAACCAATACAAATTATCTGACAATATTCAAGGAGTGCTGCCAATTTATAAACACACATGCACACGATTAATAAAATTCTACCGATCCTACCTTGTATTTAAAACGAACAAATAGACGAACTATAGGAATATCACATTTTAAAATTAAAATAAAGCCGTCTACGCTTCCTACAATGTCAGAAATTTCTCATCAATAATAAATTAGATGGTTGCCTTTTTGAACTTACCACTATGCTTAGAATCTTCATCTTCATCAGGAATAGGACCAAAGACTTCTGAAGAACGAAACAATGTAATATAATACGTATTACACAGAGGCAGCCACGTACGTATCTATCCAAATATGAAATGCAATCACGCATGGACTAGCCAATTTACCACTAGCCATAACACGCCTAGACCTTTAGGTTTCAGGTCATAATACATGATTTATGCATGTGTAGGGGCAATTCTCCTGAAACGATGGCTCACCTATTTACAAATGCATATGCAGTATAAGAAAGCATGCCCTCACGCAATCCCCTGCAGCCGCGCCTCACTTTCCCGACCTCTATACTCACTGCACAGCAGTGTCTCACGCCCGACCCATGTACTCACAGACACAGCAGTGTCTCACGTCCCGACCCATGTACTCACTGACGCATTGATCAGTGTCTCACGCCGAACCCCTATACTCACTGTTGCAGCAGTGTCGTGGGATGCGGTGTCTCACGAGGCACAGGCAGACGACGGCCGCGATGGCCCCGATCGACGACAGCACGGTGACGTA